AGGGGCACCAGGGTGGCTCAGTGGGTTAAGCCTCTGCCTTTGGCTCAGGTCATGATCTCAGGGTCCTGGGATCAAGTCCTGCATCGGGCTCTCTGCTTAGCAGGGAGCCTGCTTCCTCCTCTCTCTGTCTCTCTCTCTGCTTGCCTCTCTGCCTACTTGTCATCTCTGTCTGTCAAATAAATAAATAAAATCTTAAAAAAAAAAAAAGAAAACATCACCTTTAAAAAAAAAAAAAAGAAAAAGGAAGAAACCTAGAAAAATGCCTACATTATCAACTTTTTTTTTTTTTTAAAGAGAGCACATGAGGGCAGGGGGGTGGGGGTGCAGAGGGAGAGGGAGAAAGAATCTTAAGGAGGCTCCACACCTAGTGCAGCCCTGTGTGGGACTCAGTCTCACCACCCTGAAATCATGCCCTGAGCCAAAATGAGCAGTTGGAGGTTTAACCAACTAAGCCACCCAGATGCCCCTACATTATCAACTTTTAAAGTGGTTCCTTCCCTCTTGTGTTTGAACACACAGGCTTTTAGAAAAAAACTCTCCCATCTTCTAACTATGCCCTGTTATTCACATATTCCTCTCAAATATGGCAAATGAGATAGTGACGGTAATATGTCCATTTTGTCACTATATTTGGTGGCCTCACAGGACTGAAACTTAGTTGCCATTTTCTTTTGCCTCATCTTCCAGTTCCTTATGTGTTGGTGGACTGTATTTAGACTGCTGACTTTTTTTTTTTTTTTTTTAAGATTTTATTTATTTCTCAGAGAGAGCGAGCACAAGCAGGGAGCGTGGCAGGTAGAGCAGGCAGAGCAGGCAGAGCGAGAAGCAAGCTTCCTCCTGAGCGAGGAAGCCTGATACAGGGCTCTATCCCAGGACTCTGGGACCATGACCTAAGCTGAAGGCAGACACTTAACATAATGAGCCACCCGGGCATCCCTAGACCATTGGGTTCTTACTCCCTGTGATTCATGTTTGGCTTTTCACCCCTCTAATATTTGTCCTGTGCCCTTTCCCCTCCATGTCTATTTCCTTTTTCCCATTCACCGTAGTATCACTACCAGGAACCAAGCCCTCAGGGATCCCAGTTACTTCTGTCTGTCACTTATTGTATGTAACCCTGGACAAGTTCTTTCTCTCTGCTTCACTTTCCTCATGTGCAAAATGAGTGTTAATAGATTGACCATAAAGGGCTGTTGTGAGGATTAAATGTCAGTGTATTCGAAGTGCTCAGATCCAGAACTAGGAAGCACTCTTATATGTTTGCTTATATGTTCAGACTTGTATGTTTGAGATTATTACTCTACAAGCTGCTTTTACCCTTTTCCTGATACACTTTTTCAGTTACCTGCCCATAATTTAGTTGAAGTATCTCACTGAACTTGAAGCAGTTAAAAACTAAGCAAAAAAGCTTCTAACTCTAAATTCTCTGTCACTCTCATTTCCGGTTTAGGTGATTCTTCTTTCCTTTTTGTTTCCCATCATATAACCTATCATTTAGGTCTGATTGTCTCAGATCCATTTCTGTTGCTGTAGTCAGGCAATCATTTTGGCTGATTTTTTATTCCAATCATTCTCCCTTTATGCAAATGGTAAAATAATCTCCAGGCTTTGTCTTGTTCACCTGGAACATTGCTTGGCATGTAACAGGCATTCAGTATTTGTTAGGTGAATGACTCATGTACTGTATCAGCCACCTGTAGTAGGACATCTAAACCCCCGAACCTTCTGTCAGGTTGTCACTATTGCTGTCAATCTAGTAGTTTCACATCATCGATTCTCTATTCATCTCAGCAAAACCACTTGCTATTTCCTATTTACCTTGTACTAATTCTTGTTCCCATGTTATTGGTATTTCTTGAGATGCCCTTTATTTCTATTCTGTGTCATGGCCAGAACACACTATTTCCACAGAATTTCTTTTTTGCTCTACTAGTGTTAGTCACTCTTCTGTTGTGTGATGTCTCAGCATTTGGTTGATTTTCAGTGTATTAATTTGTACTTAAAATCTCTGGTGGGTATGCCATATCTGCTTACCTCAGTTAGAAGTTTCTGGGGATCAAGAAAAATGTTGTCTCTCTTGTAACCTTTCCTCCCCAGAGCTAGTGATGTGGCTTACACTCTTCCAGGTGTTTAGTAAATGTTTCTGCAGCAACTCTGTGGAATATGTGGAGTGGCCCTCATGAAGTCCCACAGAGGTTATGTGTTTAGAGGTCACTATTAGCAGGGCAGTTTTGTCTTTACTAAAGAGATACGGGGCTAGTAGATGGTGGAGAATTGGGAGTATATTGTTCAAAAGGATCTGGGCCAACAGAGGAGTCATTCTGCTCTGAGTAGGTAATTCTGGGATAATAGTCAACTCTGGGCTATATTGTAAACAAAGTTTGTTTTTATTGATAATTTATGATCCCAGATATTTAATTTGGGGAGAAAGTAACCCATAAAAGTATAGCTTAAAAATGTAACTAAATCCTATCTGACATCATGGTATGGACTTTTCCTCTATTTAGTTATTCAGAGCATGTTTAGAACTCAGATTAAAATTTGACAGAAGTGAGGAAAAGAGTAAATAAGCCAGAAAAATCCATGTTAAATAAAATGCAAGTTACCTTTTCCCAAAATATTAAAGTATGAGGGCCAAGCAATACGAAGTCTGGGTAGCTGATTTCCAGCATCACAGGCATGAGCACTTCCTGAGCTGGAGTAAGAAAATATGCCATCTACTGGCACCTCTTCCATGGAATTTTTATCCTCACCCATTTGAGATCTGAAAACTGAATTTCTAACTAGCTGGGCTGAAGGACAGAAGGGAACAGACTGCTTTCCAGGGAGGCCTGGCTGACTGATCTCAGGATCTTGAATGTGAGCCCCATGTTGGTGGGTACAGTATACTTAAAAAAATAAATAAAATCTCTTCCTTTAGGGTATTATCTTAAAAAAAAAAAAAAAAGGAAGTAATGAATGAACTGGCAGATGATGACTGAAATTAGTTTTTTTTAGAAAGACTGCTTCAGGAGCCAAAGTACCTATTAGATTGTATGTTTGTTTCAAGATTGACATACACTCATGTTGTAGCACACTCATAAAAGCTGCTCTGACATCTCTAGTTTTTCTAGAGAGGCTACAAATGTAAGCTGTCTTTCAGTCCAGACATCATTCTGCTTGCAGTTTGACTGCTTTTATTTACAGTCCTGTTATTTTATATCTGTTATGGTACTGCAGGTGAAGAAGAATATGCAAACCTGGAAACCACTTTAGAGGTTTTCTGTCTCATTTTGCTAATTAAGAAGGGTATTCAGGTTAAAAAGAATATCGCTCAAGGTTGCATAGCTGGTTAATAACAAGGCTGGGAGTTTAATCTTGGTCTACAAATTTCAAAGATAATGGTTTAGAATGGTGCTTCTCTAAAAGAAAGTTTTTCTAGCAGAACATTGCCAGAATATCGCTCTTGTACTTATCAGGCTGACCATACTATCAGTGGGTCAGTGGGATATCTACCTGAGGTGTTTTCTTAATGGAGGTGATGGTCTTTAGTGAACTCTGCACGTTCTCTTTCCTGGTTCTCCTGGTGGCCAGCCCATCTGGAAGACACTAGTTGGGGTCAGACACTTGTGTAGGTTTCTTTGTCTCAGGACTAAGCTATATAAATAGTGAAGTTAGTACAACTGACTATACCCCTATTTATAAATAGCATTGGTACTTCAGCATGATGCTTGCTAGTTAGGGAACTACTGGTGATCACAACTGTGCTTAAAGTATATCTGTTTCTGCAATGTCCTAGCATTTGGATTAATTAGTGAACAGCACAGAGGCTGTACGGTATTTTTAAACACAGAGGAAAGGGGAGAGTGTTATGCTTGGTGACTGAATTCTGACCCCAACCCATCTTATGTAATTTAGAAGACAGACGGATCGAAGCCATACTGGACTGGTGACTGTTCCAGTCTTATTTTGGGTGCTTTGTATTTTCAGCCTATAGATAGTGACAACAAAGATTAGCTCATTAACTCATTGGTTCATTGATAATATTTCTCATTGTCCCAATCCTGTATACTCATTATATATGAGTGTTTTGAATATGGTAGATGTTTTTGTTTTTTATCAATCAGCTGACATTAATGTTCCAGGTTGAGCAAAGGACGTGATATGAACAACCTTGTAAGAAAGCATTCATTAAGTGTGCTTTCAAGCTTCCTAAGGAAAGTCCTGGGGATTATAATGCAGTTTATGCTTTATAAAAAAAACAACAACAACAAAAAAAACTCAACAGCCATTAATACCTTCTTTTAAGCCATGAATGCTTTTTACTTTTCCCTGAGCTATCTGGTTATAAACTTCATACCCCTTTTATTCTTCCTTTTTAACCCATGGCTTCTCTGTAACAGATTGACTAATTGAGGTTAAATACAACCCCTCAGTCATTTCTGTGGTGATTGTGCTAATGAGATTCATCTATGAGCCAGAAGCCAGAGCAGCTGGTAGGCTTGTCATCTCCAGTTTGTGGTCCCTTTGGATGAAGGACTTTTGGCCAAGTGTGTAGGAAGTCGAGGCACTAAGGAAACTGCTCTGGAACACTGTGTTGTGGTGAATTGAGCTAGGGATCTGTTTTTTGTGGTGGTGGTTAAAGTTACTGACTCATTTCTTTAAAAAGATATCCCAATGCAATTTGAATATCCCTTAATTTGTGCAAGCATTAATAATATTAGTAAATTTGAATTTTTTTGTGCTTTCTTTTTATCATTTAATGAAAGTGTGAATGTCATATGAAATGACTTGGAAAAGGTGAGGGAAAGGAGCTGGCGTCCTGGCTAAGGTAAAATTAGATAAACCCTCAAATAATTGGTTATGGACCTTGACAATGATCATTGCTAAGCAGCTGGCAATGATTGGCCTTAATATTTTTTTCTCTAAAGTGGTGAGCTGGCAAGGGGTTTGAGCATTTTACAAAGTGTAAATAAAAATGTATTCATTTCGATGAAACTCTGTATCTTCTGTTTCTGAAGGTGCACTCACAGAGTGCTATGATGAACTGGGCAACCGATATCAGCTTCCAGTCTACTGCCTGGCACCACCAATCAACATGATAGAGGAAAAGAGCGACATAGAGACTCTGGATATTCCTGAGCCACCGCCTAATTCTGGATATGAATGTCAGCTCCGTTTGCGCCTTTCTACAGGCAAAGACCTCAAACTTGTGGTCCGCAGCACAGACACTGTATACCACATGAAGAGGAGGCTACATGCAGCAGAAGGCGTGGAACCGAGTAGCCAGCGATGGTTCTTTTCTGGCAGACCTCTTACCGACAAAATGAAGTTGGAAGAGCTGAAGATCCCAAAGGACTATGTTGTACAAGTTATAATGAGCCAGCCTTTGCAAAACCCAACACCAGTTGAGAACTGATTGGTCCTATTGGCTGGTCCCAAGATCCCGCCCGCTCCTTTTTATTGTTGTCGTTGTCATTTCCTACTCTATGGCGTGAAATTTATTTTCACTGCTCTGAATTCCGTATGAATGGATTTAGTTCTGAGGAATTACCAGTGAAAACTTCCATCTGTGATGGAGACCAACAAAAATTATTAATAAAACACAAAGAGCCAGCCTTTGAGACTCATGTAATTAGTTTCTAATTTGAAAGGCAGTTAAAAAATAGATAACCATTTATTTTAAAACACCCAACAATGTAATGACTGTATTTAAATGATTTGGACTGTAAATAGAATGTTATGTCCATAAAGAACAGCACCAAGCACCTTGTGAATACAGATTAAAATACATACATATATATATATATATATATATATATAAAATATGTTTGTGTGTGTGTATATATATATGTATATGTATTATTTTTTTCCCCAAAAACATCAATAACAGTTATAAAATGAGCTTTTTAAAATGGAAACTGAAAAGAGCAATATTTGAGGTTCACTTCTATCTGGTCTGAATTCTTTGCTCAATTAATATTTAGCCATAAAAGAGTAGAGACTGGCAAATTGTGTTTCAGTATTGCTTTCCCCATCCCTGTATCTTGAGCTCCTTATTTACATTCACACTAAATTTTGATGCCTTCCAACACATTGGTGGCAGGTACCCTTCTGGAACACTAGGCAATAATTTAGTCAGTGCAGTCAGATCTCTGATTTTCAGCTGATACTCAGTTGAAAATTCTCTTGTCCCTTTACTGCATAGATATTTTGAAATGTCTGTATAACAAAGCTGTTTTTATATCCAGGCTTAGAGGGTCACTACTATATTATACCTTCATCGATCTACCTACTCTGCTTGGGACTTTTCAGCGCATGCCCCCAAATGTACTGGGCCAGGGAATGCAAGGAATCAAGGACAGATGTTCGCACTATAAGATAACACAGTCAATTTTCTCTTCCTCCCAGTTTGCAGGAAGGTTTTAAGGAAAACCAGTTGTATCTGTGCCTGGGAGAACTGTGCCTATTTTCAGTCTTTTAGAGAAAATATCAACTCCTAATTCACTGGTACGTGTATGGACATCACTTAAACATCAGCAATGACACCAAATGACGAAACATTGCTTTATATGTTAACTTTCCAGTTCACTGTTACCTCTACTTGTGGTAGATGACAGTTTTCCTCTCTCGTCTTTCCTAGCAAAAAGTCAAATGAAGAGCCATCTGCAAATTAGATGAGAGGACTGAAAAATCTGGTGAGAGCACCTGATTCTCTCACACTATATTGGAATAAAGCTGCCAAGGGTTATATTTAATTTGGGGCCTTTGAAAAGTTAGTTCCAGAAAGAAGAGGGGGACTATCACATAATCACTGTAGCCCCAAGACTGTGATACGGCAAAGTAGAGGCAAGAAGGTACGTACTCTGCTCTCAGTTGGGAAATAATCAGACCTCCACGCCTATTTGGATGTGAAGCACTATTAATTTTAATGGCAAAATGAAACTGCTAATTAGTTTAAATGTAAAGTTTAAAATGGTATTAAATTTACTATAGCCTGATTAGATATAATATCTATAATTATAACCTACCTGTTTCTGAGAGCTCTAACTACTTCCTTTTTTTTATGCAATCATTTTAAAGATTGTGGCTATATTCAATTTAGGGTTGTTGACAATTGAATCTAAATTCAAGAGACGACAGCAATGGTAATTCCAAAGGAGTATTTTTATATTTGAAGATAGGGCTTTGAGGGTGTTTGAGCATAATGCCCCTGTCTTCAAAGAGTTTGTTACTTATGTGCTACATGGAATAGCAACAGTTCTCAAAGTTTGACAACTGGAAAAGTGTTCAAACCTATTTTTCCTGAGTTGATATCATCAATAATCTATGGTAGCTAAGAAGGTTTTTTTTGTTTGTGTAGAATTTGAGCTAAGAATTTTGTTTTAAAGGTACATATACTTTGCATAACGATTTTCTGGGCATGTTTAACTAACCTGGGTGAGAAAACCATGGTGCTGTTTAATGTAAATAGATTGATATAAGATTGGACCAATACTTGATGTGTACAATTTTAGTATGTAGGGTTTTTGTGCTTTTTTAAAAAAAAATGTTCAATTTTTCTCTTTGTCTTGGCCTTTATTCTGGGTTTTTAATTGTTACTCTCTATATAAGAGTAAACTGCCTCATTCTAATAAAACCTCTAAAAAGGGTTTTTCTTCTTTTTAAGAACTTACTTCAATAAATAACAAATTCATTTTCATCAGACTTAGGCTCCACTGTGCCAAACCATACATAGTTATTTATAGATATGATTTATCCTCCACATTGAAATCTTGGTCTAAAGTAGACTATTGTTTTTTTCTCTTAAGGCTCATGCCATAAATCAGAACTCATAGCTCAGTTTTCTAGAAACACTGAGCTCATTTCTTATCCATTTTGGATCAAAGTGGCAGGTTTTGGTAATTTTTTATTTAAAATAGGTAATACATATGTGTATGGGCAAATCCCAAAATACCAAAGTGAAAAGTCTCTCTCCAATCACCAGATGTAACAACTGTTACCAGTGTTCTGGGTATCTTGAAAGATAATCCAGCCCAGCAGTTCCTCAACTTGAGAATGCATCAGAATTACCTAGAAGGCATCTGAAAGCATAGATTGCTAGACTTTTCTCCCAGGGGTTCCACATTAGTAGGTCTGAGTGGGCCCCAGTAATTTAAATTCCTGAGAGCTTCCAGATGCTGCTGCAGCTGGTCTGCAGAATCACACGGTGAAAACCATTTGTTCTGATGTACATTGAGTGCATTCACCCATGCTACCCTGTTTTTTCTGTAAATACATCCACCATTCACCTTGATTTCTCTTTAAAATGATGAATCTTGTACCTGCCTCTTCCTTCTTATGGTTGCACCAGTCTTGTGTTGTTCGGAGTACCAGTTATTTCAGACTTCACTTCGGTCAATTTGGTTACTTGCAATTTTGCTACTGTAAACCATGGTGCTGAAAAGTGTCCTTTTCTATAGCTACATCATTATGTCTATGTGCATCTATAGAATGCACTCCTGAAGAGAGAATTGCTAGGTCAAAGAGTTATGCACAATTACCCTCCAAACAGATTTTACCAATCTGATACTATAGCAATATAATTGCTCTTATTTTCTTATATATCCTAACCAACATTTTGTTCTTTGACAATCTAAGTGAAAATCTGTGTCCTATGGTCTTACTTCATGTATTTTCTTTGTAGTTTAACATTTTAATGTATATTTTAGGCCTTTTTTTCCTGCAAATTGTTTGTGTTTGCTCATATTTCTGGTGTACTTTGGCTTTTCTCCTCTTGATTTGTGAATACTCTCTTTATTAAGGAAATTAGTCATTTTTCTATCATGTGTTACTATTTGTTTTTGGCTTTGTATAATTTACACCATGTGCAAATTTTAAGTTTTGCTTGGTTGGATTGATCAGATTTGTATTTTATGGCTTCAGGGTTTTCTTCAGAAGCTTTTACCCAGTCATTATAAAATTTTTTTTCTCATTTTTTAGTATTTCTTTTATGGTTTCATTGTCTAGAGTTATTTTGGTGCAAGGAATAGAATAGCAGCCCAGATTTATTTATTTGTTCCTTTGTTTTTGTACATAGTTAGCTAATCCCGCTTTTCCTGATACTGCTTATTGAATTAATTTTCATGGGTCTTTTTCCCATTGATGGAGGAAAAATCACTATTTTATGATGGCTTTTAAGACTATACTTTTTAAATGGTCTTTTCTTATTAATTGAACAAATTACCAAGTATACCTGTGTCCATCTCAAATTCTCAAATGCTATTGTGATTTAGTATTTAGACTTACAGAAAAGAAAAAAGAGGAGTGTGGCCGATAACCTCCCTTGCAGTAACTGGTCTCCTGTGATTTCTGTTCTCTGTCTCTGTGGGGGCTTTTCATGTGGGCAACTGCCCATTTTGGCAGGTGTCAGCAGAGTTGATTTGGCCGTTTCTAGTCTTGGTCTTTGGCATGAGGCAAGTGATGATAATACATAAGAGCTAAGGACTAGTGGAAAAGAAATGATTTCCCGTTGCTTAGCTTCCTCAAAAATTCTTCCCTTTTTATAGCTGATAGAGACTGTGGAGTAACCAGTCCTGAGGTGCGGGCCTGAAACTCTAGTGCTTTCTTCAGCCCAGCCTGCTGGTCACCCCCTCTGCAAGTGCAGCTCCTCTGCCCTTGCTTTGGCCCCTGAACATGGGCGTGCCTTGCTGACTAAGGCATTCTGATGTAACTATGACATAGTAATGCTATAGAGTGTTACCACCTTCCAAAGAACCCCTAAATGTACTTGGTCTAACTGAACTCTACCTTGAGAGCACAGTGGATTAACTCACTGTTGAAATAATGAAACTTAATTGAAACATCTACACACATACCTACAAGCACATTTTTTAAAACTTTAAATCTTATAATGTAATTGAGGAAAAGAGTCCTGAAGAAGACACTGACAGATTGTTTTTTTGTTGTTGTTGTACTCCTAGTCCCCAAAGAATGTCACTTTATCCATGCTATTGAATTTTAGTTTTTATAGTTTGTTTGGGCCCATCCGAACTAAACGATCAGTTTCCTGAGTCCATTCTAGAACCACGCAGTTTATGAAAATGTTCCTCCCCCCCCCCACCTTAAATCTATCCATTTATTTTAGAGAGAGAGTGGGGGGTGGTGGCACCTAAGGGTAGAGGGAGGGGAAAAGAATCCTCAAGCAGACTACCCGCTGAGTGCAGGACAGGAGCTCAATCCCAGGACCTGGAGCTCATGACCCCAGCCAAAGTTGGATGCTCAACTGACTGAGCCAGTCAGGCACCCCGGAAAATGTGCTTAAAAGGATCTTTTAAAATCTGATAGTTGGACCCTGATACCTTTTATAGTCACTTTGATGATTTCCAGGGAGGAAGGGAAACTCATTCCTGAAACTGGTCATTTGATGTTCATTTTAAATTAGGTTGAAATAAATGAATAAATTATTTTAAATATTAATTTAAAATGTAGTCAGAATTATAATCTATGATACTTATTATCTTGTACTTTCCCTTTGCCCCCATGGCCCCATTCTGAAGCAATAAAAGGAACAGTATCTTCATTGCTTTAGAGACTGTGTGTGTTAAAAAACACGTATGCCATGGTTCCTTTTTGTATATCTCAGGAGTCTTGCCCTAGGAAAATAGGAAAGAGAAGCCTTTCTAAGACCCTGGTGTAGTTTCTCCTCCCACAACTATGTGTAGATCTTAGGCTGTATGCCAGCAAAAGCCATCTAGGATTCCAGAAAAGAGGCAGAAACGTATCCCAAGTTAAGCTTAATGGTAAGGCCCTTTGAAAGGATGATGGG